CTAAGACCAAATATGTAGAAAATGGAAGTAGAAAAAGATGGGGAAAAAGACTCACTGTAAGTCCAGGTTCTCCTTTCTGTCCAACTCTACCCTGTGAGGTGAAATTACTTTTTAAAAATTAATTGTGAACAGAATCATTGCTTTCCCATCAGGTAAACAATGACTTCCTGAATTCTGGAATCGAACAGTTCTAGTACCACTAATCCAGGTATTCCAGGTTCTCCTGGTTCTCCTCCGTCTCCTTTTGTTCCCTTCTCACCCCTGAACCCTCTGTCGCCCTAAGAGAACAAACAGGTACAAGTCCAGCTCTGAGATTAAAATCAGAAAGTAGTCTCTGACCAGGGCCTTATCATCACCTTATCTCCCTGTAGACCCTGCCCTGGAAGACCTCTTAGACCTGGAACCCCCTGAAATCCTGGCTCGCCCTGGAAACATGGAGGAGATCATAAGTCCATGTGACATTTGTTCTTCAAAACCAAATACAAGGGATTACTGTGGGTGTGTCAGGTAAGAGCAGCACCTTCTGTCCTTGAATACCTTCCCCAGGCAACCCTGGTGGGCCCATTAATCCCATCTGTCCGATGGAGCCCTGCAGTGATGATAAAGTTAAATTTCTGAGGAAAAAAAAGAAGTCTAGAAGATGTTTTTACAAATACGAGATTTCTGAGAAAACAAATTACCTTAGGACCAGGTTGACCGATTCCTGGAGGTCCTGAAGGTCCAGGAGGTCCAGGTAACCCCCTGTCTCCCTGAACACGAGACAGACCAATCAGCAAGATATGGACATATTCTTGAATAAAGTCTTTCTAAAAGGAAACTTAAAACTAACCTTCGAACCAGGTAAACCAACACCGTCCGGTCCAACTTCTCCCATCAGTCCAGGAGGCCCAGGAAGACCCTAAAATGCAGTTTATATCAAATATTAAATATCACTTGGTGATGGTAAGTTAAGTCAATAAGTAAAAAAATGTCGGTTTACTCACAGGGACACCAGGGAAACCTTCACCTTTTAATCCAGGTGGACCAGCAGGTCCTGGTGATCCTCTGTCACCCTGCGGACCAATACGTAATACTGTAATACTTCATTAATTCAGATTAGGTTAGTCAAACTTCACATGTAATTGCTATAGTCTAAGAACCGTTAGAAGTATCAAGATACGATAAGTAGCAAGGAAATAGCTTAAAGGTAGCCTAGAGAAACAGTGAAAACTGTAAAGATATAGCTGTAAAGCAAACAAAAAACTTGACGTTGGCTAAGTCATAACTTTTGCTAAAATAAGCAGGTATTTGTCATCAGGTTAGCTAAGAGGAATGATCAGTGTTGGTTAGTCCTGGGTTCGATTCTTTAAGGAACCACATTTCCTTAGTGATACCTCCTGTGTGGCAGCCAATGAGTTGCAACCACATACTTAATGGCG